CCACCAGAGAACACTGGTGAAGAAACACATCTGTTCTTGTGTTAAATGGGAGCTGCTGTTGGCCAGAAGACACCAACGTCCTCATTTTTCTGGCTGGAACATGTGTCTTAGGGGACAGAAGTCTTTGTGGTTGAGTTTGCTGCTAAAGATCTCTGAAGTGTTTGATTTTATTTCATTCATGAATTGAAACCTCCGGCTTGATCCGCGTTACTCAGCGGGTGTCGGGTTTCCTGCTCGTGGCCTTGTGCGGGTCATCGGGATGATAAAGTGTTGCAGAGGGAGTATTAACTTGTGTGTTCATGATACTTGAACGAATTTTCCTAAAAATTTGCCGAATCCTTTTTAATCATCAGGGAAATGGTGCAGTTTTATGTCACATATACGAAAAAAAAAGTTGAGAAGAGAGGAAACAGTTGAGACAGGAAATTAAAGTCATTTATTTTGGTAATTGCTTTAATAATGAGTCTGTTCACGCTCAGTTGGTGTTTGATTGTATCTGTAGGCTCACTTAGTTAGAAATGAGATAGAAATTCATATAGTGTGGGAAAAACACTGGTGTGGGTTTCTGCTTTTGAAACAGACGTCCTCAGATGTTTGTCTTTCAACGTTGGTAGATTTTTACCTCCAAATGAAAAGTAGATCTCTTCAAATATACATGAAATGTTGTAAAAGCTTCAATGTTCTCTCTATGTGCTGCGAGTACTACGATTTATATCTGTGACTGAACATTTTCTGTTTCAGGTGTTAACTAAAAGAAACAGAATATTACACTTCTTGTTAAAAATTATGCAGAACTGTTACAGGTCAAGCCGATAGCACAATAATAATGTTAGCATAGCATTAAAACTCAATTTAGAACACAGTTTAGCGAAAAGATTCAATCATTTTATATAAAAGCTGTGCAGAAATGCTCACATTTCTCTGTCAGTTCTCCCCAAGGAAGCTGTGGCTACATCGTAGCTCATTCCCACCAGCGTACGAATGAGTGGATGACTGATTGTGTTGTGAAGTGCCTTGGGTAGTTGTAGAACCCTGAGAAGACGCTTTACAAATACAGAGCATTTACCACATGCGCGCGGCAGCCTCTCTGCGCACTCGGTTTCTGATTCTGCTCGCTCGGCTACTGGCAGTTTTGGCACTCTGGAGGCGTGGCCTGTGGCTGATCTTTTCTGTCCTCTGATCGGTAAGTGTTTTTCCGCTCCTTACCCTCTACCTCATTGGCCCATTGGCTTCCTCTCGGAGCACAATGGGGGTAGCGGAAGAACAAATCTGATCCAATCTTTAGTAAGTACTGTCATTGCTCAGCTGGTAGAGCCGATGACTTTCACTACGAAGATCCGGGTTTCGAATCCAGGCAAGGACAACAGATAACACATAAGGTTATTTTTTTTATTCCAGTGATATCTTTTGCAGTTATGACCGCTCTACTGTCATTTTAATTTTTAACAACAGGTTACTTCTGTGAGGTAGCTTGAACAATCAAGTAATAAATAACACAAATTCTTCACTTTTGGACTTTATTGCAAATATAAAAAGTCTAATATAAAAACAGATAGCACTTCAACTTAAAATACCTGTCAGGGGCCTATTTTTCCTCGGCCCCCAAAATGCTTAGATACGCCCCTGGGAATGGGACGGAGTTTTGAAGATGATCCAAATGCAAGATCCAAGATGATACAGGTACAAACGTGTAGTGGGATAAATCCACCTACATTTTATTTATTTGAGAACTTTGTTTCGTTTTCTTGGTTTTTATTTTCCTGTCCTGTCCGTCTCTGATCTTCCTGCATCTCCCAGTCCTAACTCCTGCCTGCTTCCTTCTTTTTCACCTCACAAGTAACTTTTTAACTAGCAAATCAAATCGATCTATTGACCGCAAAAAAAGTGGAATGTGCGCTGCGCTGCCCGGCTGCGCCAGTGACGAGCGCTGCAGCGCGAGCGCGTCCACACGTCATGCTCAAATACAGACGGAACTTACCAGAGAAAATGAACGGACACGAATGACTGTGTGTTAATTATATATTTTTTGGTGACGCCACTTAAAAACTTAGAAAATGTTACTGTGGCTGTGTGCAGAACGCAGCTCATGAATAATCAGCGGTCTGCCTGCCGCTCTCTGCATCTCTGCCCAAAAGAACTACGCTGAGTTCATATAAATAATATAATTTAGTAGAAACTGGATCTCTTTTGTGCTCCTTCTGGGTGTGTAAGTTAAGGGCATCAGGAGAGCCTGACAACCTTTAAGGAGAACCAAGTTGCTCTCCTGTAATTTGAACCCAGTATCCGAGTCCGGATCGGGAAGTAAAGCCCAGTCCCGATCGAGTCTGAAACCATGTGATCGGGGCCGATTTCCGGTCATGTGATCGGATCGGGACATCCCTATTTTACACCGTATCAACGTGACCATCATTTAAATAAACAGTATTGCAAACATTGTTTCCTGTGGAGCAGAAAGCATGCAACCTCGTCATGACTCCTCAAACTCTGATGGTCTTTCAGTCAATTCCTTTGGGAGAACTCAATGCTGATGCTAGTTTTCTGTAGTTTCTGGAACTGCTCGGGGTCCTGCGCAATAACGTCATCATGCTATAGCAGTACCACGCAAAATATACTGTAGCTCTTTGTCAATTCTGTTCTTTCACATAGGTTTTGGAAAGAGTGTAGCAGTTTTGTTATTCAATTCATGTTTCTTACTGCTTAAATGTTTGTGAACATTTTAACGTAACTTCCGTCCAGCCAATCATCTAGTTTGATGTCACAGACCAACAGCGTAGGACCCCGAGCCGGCCAAAAGGCAACATCAAGTCTAATATGGTGTTCCCCAAAGATGACTAGACCCTTGCCCTATGTACTTTAGACCCAATTTTTATGGTTACGAAGCTGCCAATATTTTTCAACAACTGGGTCTGATTTTATTCATTTTCAACACCGTTTCAATGGATACTTCCAGAGATTAAAGGTAAAATCTACTGATTGTCCCTTTAACAAAAATACACCAAAAAGTAATAATAGTAGTGAATCAAATATGTTTTGCATTTACAGACAATTTAACTCATTCACTGCCGGCCGTTTCCTGATCAGAAAAGCCTCTCTGCCAGCATTTTTTGAGTGTTTTTACTGTTTTCTTAAGAGTCACAGAACGTTGCGCGCTAGGGTGATGTCGACGCCAAAACTCCCAAAACAAAGTGGAGACTCACTTCTCACATCAGGAAGAATCCGCGCCTTTCGAGCGTTGTCCGTTCTTTCATAATCCGTTGTCGAATTGTGATTGGCAGAAGCTTTTCCAGTTCGCGCCTCACTTTTTTTACAGCAGCAGCCCAAAACGATCTCCTAGCACATTGGTTTTCTGCTTCCTGATCACGTGACGTGTGACGTATGCGGATGAAGATCGGCTTTAGAGCTGGGATGTTTGTTCTCACGGTGCGGGGGCTCGTTCCGATGCCCACGCAGTAAAAAAATGCAAATGGCAGCGAGTGGTTGCATAGCCGTTGTATTTAAAATTTTGTCGTTGATGGCAGTAAATCAGTCAAACAATGTAGCATAACCCGGTGTTGGCATTTTAAATGAATGAGTCAAAGCTTTGATGAGTGTGGACCAAGAAGATTGTGTCATCTGCAAACATTCGTAGTGTGAGGATGTTTGAAACTAGATTAATCAATGATTATAAAATAAGAAATAAAGGAGGTCCAAGAATACAACCCTGAGGAACTCCACAGTGCACTTTAGCTTTGGTCCAATTACAACCTTTGATGCAAACAAGTTGCAGTCTCTTTAATGAGTAACTGTTTAACGCCGTGTTGTGAAATCTGCCTTTGCTGCTGAACCCCGATGACCCGCTGTCTGAATATTTGATGAATTGAACTTGCTGATCTGTTTAACAGTGATAGATATCTCATGTAACATTTAGCACATCTGCTGATAGCATCGACGCTGTATGAATGAACCCGTGTGTGGTGCACAGCGGGCGTGGGAGGTCTGAGAGCTGGAATGTGAACAGCTGGATGTCCCAGCCTGGCAGAGGAGATGGGTTGGTACATGATGACATCCACATGGAGGAGGAGGAGGAGGAGGAAGGAGGATTCTGCCTTCCTTTATCGCCCAACTGTGAGAACCTGAATGTGGAACATTTTTGGAGGATTTTCAGCATGAGATACCCACCTCCTCCTCCTCAGCTGCTGTCTCTCGTTCATCCCTTACACCGCCACCGCTGCTGCTTCGCTCCAGCTGTGCTGTTTAACAGATTTCCCCCCAAAAGTTTATTTTTTGGCTCTTTTTTTTAACAATTGTTAGTTTTTAGAGGGAAAGTTGAAGAAAACTAAAGGTGTAAATAAAGGCCACATTCTTTCTGTTTCTCTTTGGGGAAATGAAAGCGTTTCTGGCCTGCTGCAGGTCATTTATTTAGTTTCAACACATGCTCGCTTTTCTTCACATCATCTAAGTTGCTGCTGTTAGTTTCCAGACTTTTCCTGCTTTTTGTCTTTTGCTTTTTCCCTTTACACAAGAACCCACATCTATGTATTTATACTACTATACTCTGTAATACTTGTTATTCATGGCGTTATAGTGAATAAATTGAATTTTATTTGTATTACTTGTAAAGTTACTAGTTAGAAGTCCCAAATCAAAGGAGATCTTCAGCTTTTAGGGTCTATCCAAGTCAGCATGAGCAACATGAGTGTGTCTAACTCCGTCAGTTCTGCAGATATGGAGCTAAAGCTTGGTGGTTGTATAGCTGAGAGACATGTACAACTCCTGGTCTGGACACTGACAGATAGAGGTACAGTTTCATGAAGTCATTCATTTTTGCACAAAAGTTCAGTTTTGTCAAATTTGTACAAAAACGAGACAAATGTTGTGAAAGTCCAGGTTGTTTCAGCTGGAGGTGGGCACGTCGGTGTGGGAACAACAGCGTTTTTTTTGTTCACTCTGCAGATGAGGTCTTAGGGGAGCCACTTGTCAGGCCCTACAGAGGAGGAGTTTCAGTTTGTTGGGGCAACTCTGAGTAATAGTTTCCATGGTCATAACTGAACTCTGCCTCCTCTGGCTGCCCCCACCCCTCTCGTCGCTCAGAGGGGGCTGTGTGGCTGTGCCTTCAGTCAGTGGATGCTTGAACAGTTTGGATATCGTCGCAGGAAGGAGTCAGCAGCATGCTGGAGATCCAGATGTGGTCTCTTCTCCTGGTTCTCTGTGCTGGGAGTTCGCAGGCCTGGTTCTTCAATTTGAATCCAGATCCTACAACAGAAGTGCCAGCAGCGACAACCCAAGAAGATGCTACAACGGTCGTAGACGAGACGGCAGGAGAAGCGAAGGATGGAGACAACTTGTCCAATCTGGGAGAGGAGATCCTCAGTGTGGCCACGGGGATCCGCAAGTTTGTGGAGGACTGGAGCGCTACTACGACCGCCTGGACTGCTAGTGAAGGCCCGACTCCGAAAGTGGAGGGCGCTCACCCAAACATGACGGATCAATCAGGCAGGTTAAGAGGGGAGAGGCTGGGGGAGGGGGAGGGGTCCCGTCTGGTTTCTAGAATTAACAGGACTTCAGTATCACCTTGTCTCCCCGTCCCATCCCATTGGTCCATTTGCAAATGGCCAAACTCCTTCTCGCTGCCTAATTTCTTCAACCACACATCTGTGGAGGAGGTGGGGGCTGTCCTACAGGAGTGGGCGTGGCTTGTGAGGGCAGGGTGCCACCACAGCACAGAGTGGTTCCTCTGCCTCCTGCTGGTGCCCAGGTGTGCTCCACCTGCCGCGCCCTTTGACCTGCCCTGTCGCAGCTTCTGCTCTGTGCTGCAAGACAGCTGCTGGGCATCTCTGGAAAACGGGCGCCTCCCGGTGGAGTGTCACCACCTGCCCGAACGGGAGCAGGAGCCTGAGCGCCCGGCGTGTGCATCCGTTAGTAACAGGAAAGGTAACCCTGCTGGATTGGAATGTATCGGGTGTGAAGGATACATTTGGAATCCAGTCACGTCTTGTCTTCCTTTATCTGTCCGTCTGTTTGTTTTATTGTTCTCCTTGTTTTGGATGTTTGTTTGTAATATGTTTTTAAAATCTAAAAATCCTTTTGCCTACATTACCCACAATGCAACTGCAGCCTGTCAACCCTCTGGAGGAAGGCGTTGCAGATTAGCAACGTTAAACCCTACCTACCTGGTTACTCCACACACGTATTTCATGAGCATGTTTTAACTCAGAAGTACCTCTGAAGGACTTAGTTGTTCGTCTTTTATCAGAACTTATTTTGAGCCTGAGAGGGTTAAAACCCAACTGCTTTACTTGGCTATTTCCTGAGATGTCTCAGCTTTTCTCCTTTGAGGTGACAGACGATTCTGGCTCTGTCAGCAGCAACCAGAAACCAGTCAGTTCCCTCGAGAAAAAAAATCGAAGTAATTTCTACAATAATAGCATAAAAATATAGTTAAAATATATATTGTGGCTTCTTTGCCATTGGCATTAGGACAGAGAGAGATGGACCTGAGGGGTCAAGGCTCCGGTTCGTAACACAAGCTGCAGAGCTCTTGGTGCACTGGTCCATCTTCTTCTATTCAACCCTCATCTTTGGTGTTGAGATCCAGATTGTGACCAAAGGAAGACCTGTGGATAGTTTTTTTTTTGATTATGCAAATGACTAACTAGCATGCAAACCATAATGAATGCATGAATTTTCTGTGAGCGGACCTGAACAGTTCCTGTTGGGCTCTCATTGGTAGAGAGGACTATTCAGTGATGTCTCTGCAGCAGAAACATCGTATTTGTGTGATGACAGCAGTTCTGCATGGTCTTAGAAGGTTGTCTGTGTTACAACCTTGGTCACAGCTTCTTTCTTCTCGTTTACAATCTTAGTAAATTTAGCAGCGTGGGTTACCAGGGTTACTCTCTGAATGTCTAAGCATGAAACCAGCGTTCCTGACAGGAATCCATCAGGTTTCAGTAGCTGGTTTTTCCGTTTGTTATGGAAAGGTTTAGTTCCCTTAAACGAGAAGTGTTTTGCCACCTCACGAAGTCATTTATGTTCAGATCAGCAAAGAAAACCTGAAAGTGATTTTTTTCAAAAGGTTTCATTTGTTGAGGAATTGCGTGAGAAAGACGCTGACCCCTAAGTTTAATAACTGGTTGCAACAAATTGAGTGGATTCAGTGGCGGGCGGTGCGTTCCACCCAGCTGGGCCTTCAGTGATTTCCTATTCAGTCCAATCTAAATTAACACACCTTAAAATACCATCAATAGGACATCACAGCTGGAGAAACCTCTCCCTCTCTCTCTCACACACACACAGACACACACACAGACACACACACACACACACACACACACACACACACACACACACACACACACACACACACGCGCGCACACACACACACACACACACACACACACACACACACACACACACACACACACACACACACACACACACACACACACACACACACACACACAAGTGGCTGGGCAAGACGTCATTTCTGGAGCCTTTAAAATCAAACTCGCATTCCCAATTGAGAGTAGGAAGCTAAGACCACGGATACCGTCAAATCTCAGAAATGAAAGACGGGTTTAAGAGATGAGACAATAAAATAAATAAGTAAAGCAAACACATTATTTGCATTTGTTTTGGAGAAAATTGCACCGCGAAACAATTGAACATGTTGGCGCAGCTGCAGACACCACGTTATACACAATATAAATTGCATAGAAACAGAACACATAGAATTATTTCATTTAGCCATTTTATTTCGTTACCATTTATTATTAACAAAATGAAATGACAAAACATTAAAAAATACTAATAAAATGTTTCTACTCACCAACATAAATGTCCAGCATGGATCTCCTCCTCTCCTGCTCATTTGAAAATAAAATCCATCCTTCTTTCTTTCCTCAGGAAAACCTCAATGGCTCTGTACAGTTTATCTGTGTGCTTCAGGTCCATGAGTAGATCCTTTTCTATGGACATGGAGGCTAATGCTGAAAGACGTGTCTGCCCGGTCGTGTTTCTGGCGTACGTTTTAACGCGCTTTAATGCTACCAAATCCATCTGATGCCAGCAACAGACATTCCCAGCAGAATAACCTGCAGCGGTTCTCTGAAGCTGTTAGCCATGGGTACCGTTCATAGTTGCTTGCCTGAAAATGACGAACAAATCCTTTCCCCTGCTGGGACAAGCCAGCTAGCATTGGAGTCAGACGACCTGTTCTCACAAGATCCATTTTTTCTTGAAAGGTCCGTCTGGAAAATGGTGTGGCAAGTAAATCTGCCACCAAGTCCGTCCCTTCTCCTCTTTCAGCCATCATGTGTTCAAAAACACACCGATAGCTGCCTATAGATACAAATCTCTGTGTTTAGTTTTGATATTTTGCTTCATGCCGCTAGAAAAGTTCTAACTACTGCTCATCCAATCACAGGATGCGTTCATGTCAACTTTTGCGTGAGGCCAGCTAGCTGGCCTGAGCCACGCTGACTCGTGAGCTGATTGGCTGTCGCAACTGGATTGTCTCTGTTCACTTACAGCGGACAGCGGGCTTCTCGATTGATTCTGAAGGCCTAGAGCAGACTTAATCTGCCTGAAAACACAAGCTAGCTTAAATCTGATTGGATAACACCCAGCCTTGGTATTTCAACACTGGAAGCAGCACAGCCAAGTGGGTATAATAGGATATAAAGAAAATAGACCAGTGAACATTTTTTTATTTAAAAATAATTACCAAAGAAAAAAAATACATTTACGTTTTTGAGTACGTTTAGGCCAGCAGAGAAGGCTTTGCTGGCCCTGACTGCCCACCACTGAGTGGTTTGTTTTAACAAGTCTCTCATCACTGTGGATCCTTTTTGTGCTACCCTTTTATCCAGAATAGTTTGAATTCAGACACATTGGAGGGTTTCCCAGAAAGAACAGCCTTTTTAGGGTCAAAGGTCAGACATTTTCCTTCAGGATGTTCTGCTAGAGAGCAGAACTCATGGCTCCATCAGTTACAGCAGTCCCAGAATACCACACTGCCACCACCATGTCTGACTGTTGGTGTGATGTTTTAGTGTTAGTTTGACTCTAGATGGAGCGGGACGCACACCTTCCAGAAGATTCCGCCTTTGTCTTGTCTGGAAACTGACCTCTGTCCTTAGTTTGAATCAAGATAGGCCTGATTTAGATGTTGTTGGTGAGATGCAAACATGGCTAATTGTATCTTGTCTGTGTCAGCTGTGGTCACATTGGTCTCCACCATCCTGCTCATTAATCTCTGCTCTGGTTTTAACCTCAACATGCTTTGCAGGTTCTGATCTGCTGCTGTAAAGTTCTGTTTGGAATCAGCATCCAGGACGACTGAGTCAGTCGGGACATCTGCCGTGGGAAGCGTGGGCTGTGTGTGACATTTATGATCACTGCAGTGGGTGGGAAAACGGTCCACTCTAAGGAAAGACTGCGTTGATTGTTCTGTCAGTTTGGGAGAGAGGGTAACAATGCCATGGCCAGTCAAAAGCCAGCCTTGTGGCTGGGATGACAAAGGGGCTGCTCAAGGTCTCTGCCAGGGGTCAGAGGGCACCGCCAGTTGCCTACCCTCTGAAACCAGTCACTCTGGATGGGTGGTAATTAGGCAGACAGTTAGAAGAAGAGCAGAGAATAGAAAGTGGGATGCTGTCTGAGAAACTTTTATGTGAGATGGGAATTACCCGCTCTGACTGAAGTCATTTGGGTTCATTACACACTATTTAAATGTCTAATATTAACCAGACTTATCTTTTTCTGGTACTTTTTGAGACATTATGCCCTTTCTTTGCTCCTCATTTCCAGAGATTCGTAGCATTCCAAAGATACAACCACTCCCTCTTTTAATCCGTGTTTAGAGCGCCTTTCCTGGCAGCTTTCCTGGATCTTAACAATTGTTGGTGGCAAATTATAAATGTCCTCCACAAGGGAGTTTCCAAAATGTCCCATAACATTCTTGAGGGGTCCTTCATTTGGTTGTTTTTGGCACACGGTGTAATAAAGATTTGTTTTTACCTTTTTTGCTAACAGGTTTCAGCTAACTCTGTAGCCTTCCTCAGAGAACCGCTGATGTTTGTGGCGTCACTTCTGTCTCCGTTTATTGTCCGACATCGTCCCCTGCTACCCGCAGATAAACAGAGAGGGAAGTGACGCCACCAACATCAGCGCTGCTCGGAGGAAGGCTACAGAGTTAGCTGAAACCTGTAGGCAACAAAGGTAAAAACAAGTCTTTGTTGCAACGTGTGCCAAAAAGAACCAAATAATGGACTTTGATAAGCAACACAGAACGAACGTATCAAAGATATTCTTGAGGGTTTCTTCAACGAGTCACACGACCTCGGTCTTGTGTTGCAGGAAATGCGTTGAAGCACAAGACTAAACACAAAAAATCCAGCACAGCAATGTCAAATCTGTGTCTTGATTTGAGCGAGAAACCTAAAATATTTGACAATTTAAACTATTGATAAGTTTCATCAGAACAGAAAGGAAGTGAGCTAGCATTAGCCTCTCTTTAAGCTAACTCATTACCTAAAGAAAAGCGAGTATTCAGGGTTGTGCAATATGACAGCAGTGTCTTATCCTAAGTAGGGTATTTATTTATGGTGTTTTGTAAGTTTGGATATTTTTTATGTGGTAGGGTTAGCTAATGGCAGTTTTGCATGTGGGCCAGCACGGACCGGGCTGGGTGGCATCGGTCCGGCTCACCCACAGGTAGGGTTTGCTCACCCACACTTCTTAGGAACGGGGAAATCTCCGAGCACGTGGGCGGGGCAAAGGACATGCGGAAAAGTCCGTGCTGTCTCCCTTAAATAAAGGCGACCGTGAGCATCCCATTCCAGGACTTGAGTAATCCCATCCCTGGCTAGCTTCATACCCCCTATTCCTGTCACACATTTTCTAGCATTAGCATTAGCATTAGTGGTTCTGATCATTTATGAATTTCGGTTCGGTGTCCGTTTCCAATTTTGTGCAAGAAAACTGGTATCTGACATCAACCTGACCTGATATCAGTCAGCTTTATTAGCATTCACACATTTTAACATCTGACTAGAGGTCAGGGTTGCTGCCCCTGCTTGTTCTCGGATGCCCTAAATCTCGGATTTAGGGAGTGAGGAATTACAGCTGAGGGCGAGATTAGGGAAACCTTTTGTTGGCAGCGTGAGCGGGAGGGTTTGGTTTCAGGTTATTTCAGGATAAAGGATGTGATTCAGTGCAGTGTGTCATTATGTGGTCAGATTAAGCCTAGAAGGGCTTTCATAGCTGACTTAAATTAAGGCCTGGCTCAAGCATTTTAAGATAATTGCTTAAAGATTTAGCACAAAGAAAGCCAGAATTGCTAAGATTGCACACTGAGTTTTGTGTTTTGTGTATTTTAATAGTCTTTTGAGCTGTTGTTGCCAGCAAGGACACTTCAGATCAAGATGAAGTGGATTTTATTGAAGGAAACAGTTCGTTCTTGACATTTGTAAGTTTTTGGGGCGTTTTAAAGCCTTAAACCGCTTTCAAATTAGTTCATGTTTTACCTCTTGGAACAAAAGAGGCAGTCTTTAACCTCTGAAGGAGTCCGTTATAGAGCCATAATTACATTTAAGCATGTTTTAACCAGTGCTTTGTGTCGGCTCTGTCTTCTGGGGCTGTGTGCTTTTTCCTTCTCCAGAGTCCATCCTGGTTCACTTTCCCATGGAAATCTGACTCGCATTTCCTCCCTCGCCTCCGCTTGCCCATCTGTCCATGCAAGCTCATCCGTCCTCACTGGCAGCATCTTTTTCTCCACACAGGGAAAAAAGTGTTGAAATTGTGAAAATGATATATCAGTAATCATTTGAAACTCAAATACATGAAGATGGTTGTTTTTGGATGCTGTCGTCAAACTCTATTGGGGCTGGATTTACTCAACGGAAGAATTATTAGTTTTATCTCAATCAAGAAATCATTTTTCAGACAACGATCAAAAAAGGAATTCACGATTGTCAACATTGTTTTCTTTTATTGTTTCTTTTCTAAGTGGGCGGAGCTTAATTTAAAAAATCTAAGTTTGAATGCACCAGTTAGGTTAGGGCAGATACTCTGATTCCCAACCAAGCATTTTTTATGGTTGTGTTTTAAAATTTTTATTTCTTTAATATTATCCTGGAAAAAAATAAAGATGCAGTTAAATTAAAGAAACAACAGCATAATAAGAAAACACAAAAATGAAACACCACATGGTTTAAATATTGTGTTCTACAAAAAGATACAGGTGTTTTTATTTAAAGT